ATTGTGTGGATGTAGAAATGATTGTGGGCCAATCATTTTACTTATTTTAAGAAATTGATTAATACATATTATAGAATTAAATATAACTGAAAAATACATCTAATTTGATTACAAGAGTATTTTAGTCAATTAATATAGATTTAATAAAGGAAAATTGCATATTTTAAGGGATCATAGATTCTATTAATTTTAAAAATCCGATTTTACGAATTATAATTCTTTTAATTCGGACATTCTGACAGAATACGTTTATGAGTATATTCAAAAATAAAACTATTCTTGAACTATAAAATTATAAAAAAAATTCTTAAACCTATTTCTTGATCATGACTTTAAAACTTCGTGTAGAATAACAAATTCTTGAACCATCAATTGAAGAATGAAAACAAAAATTACATTAATTCTTATAGAATACGGGTAACAATTGCTAAAAATTACATTTATTGTTAAAGAATAACACTAAAAAAACTTTCAAATCGGAAAAAAAAAACACCCAAATCTAACAAAGACACTAATACATTCTAAAAGAATAATGTTGCTAAGAATCACTTTCAATTTTGTGGTCCATTCTTGAAGCATCAACTTTTGTGAAAACAAATCCAATTATAGTTTTAGAATTCAATAATGCATTAGCAAATGAAAAATAAAAAACTAAATTCCTTTGAAAAAATATACGGACTTATGAATTGCACAAAAACCAATAACCAATAAGTGTAGAACATGCATAAATCAGTGAGAAAATGTCCATATTTCATTCCAACAGAATTGGAATTAATGATTCCATTCCGATAGAATTGAAATTCAAGAAATGGAAAAAAGATAACTCACTTTGTGTGCACAAAAACAGGAGAAGCCATGTATTCTTCTCCAACCTCTTGAATTTTATCTTCCATCTCTTTATCAGATCCTAAATTAGAGCTCCGCGGATGTGAAAGAGACAAAGAGGATGGGTCTAGTATGCTATGCTTTAGCAAGTCCACCTGCCAATCACAAAAAGGAAACCCTAAGTTGGATGGAATCGAATGGAATGAGTAATTACAATTACATTCCATGATCATACTGTTGCCATCAAACGCCACATGTTGTTATCATGAACTCCTTCTGAAACCACCAATATAATGTGACAAATGGATGTTAAGAGAACACCAAGCTACAAGGGTTCCTTGCAAGATTTTTCAAAAGATATAGAGTCAATTAGAGAAAGCATATCACAAAATGCCCATAATTAACACAAGATTAAATGGTAACAATATCTACTTGTTTTAAGGTACATACCTGTATGCCCATGAGTTCATGAGCCAACTCAGCAGGTAAGGGTTCACCACCCAAAACTGATATTATGGATGAACCATCAGGTCTAATCATTTCAGCCAAAATCGATGGACTATAAACAGGCTGCATTCCATACAACACAATTTAGCATAAGGTAAAGATAGGTTTGGGAGTTTAAATGTGCAAACCTGTGTATCAAGAAGTATGATCCTTTCAAAAGTGATTCTAGGTTCAATACCAACTGTACAATGCTTAGCCATGGCCTTGGTTTCCATGGATTATATCGGAAAAAGAGGCAACAATATTAATTGAAGTCGCAAATGCAAGTGTATATACAGATGAAGAAAGGAATGAATGCTAGGCTACCAAGAGAAGTTGGATAACAGATGGGTTCAATATACGACATACAGATGGGTTAAATTGACAAAAGGCTAGCAACTTACCGGAAGGAATCGATCGGTGTGGAAATCCCAGGAGTCGGATAACAGATTCAGAAAGCCAACGGAGGGAAGGCGGGAGCGGAGTGACGATGAAGCGTCATCAGGACCACCGCCGCCTCCACCGCCACCAGGTCTCTGGTTGTACTTGGCGGTAGTGACTAGAGTTGGCTTGGCTAATAGGATTTTGGGGGCTTGATGAGAGGAAGCAGACGATGAGGCGTTTGATTTTGAGGAACCGCTTCCTCCACCGATTGCTGCCATTGTCGGCAGACTCCTCACTGTATACAACTGCTGAACAGAAGGGGGATTTTCAAGCGTACATACATGTTTATCCGGAGAAAGCAGGAGCCCTCACCCAATCTCTCCATCACCGACTTTCAGAATCAGAAAGAGAAAAAGATATAGAGAGAGAGAGAGAGAAAGAGATAGAGAGAGAGAGAGATAGAGCGACGGTGAGGGGTGGGTTGTTCAGGCACTGATGGCGGTGGGGGCTGGTGGAACATGGCCGATGGTTTCTTTTGCCAAACATTGAAGGGTACGCTGCTAGGGCAAGGTTGAAGAAGATTAGGGATTAATTAAATACTTATTTAGTTATCAAAATTAAACAATGGGTAAGATTACATTAATACCCTTTAAAAATGATTGGCTAATATTAAATTCTACAACCATACAATAATTACTTTGAATACCTGAAACTATATATATATATATATATATATATATATATATATATATATATAATTTATTATCAACATTCAACGATATTCAGTTAATTTTTAGGACCTTTTTTCTCTTGCTCATCCTAAGCATTTGAATCATCATGACCGACCCTTTAACATACCCGTTTGTCTTCGCTTCAACGATACTATTTACTCGACGGATTCGTTGGTACTGCCACCGACTCGACTTAAAAACGTATCGACTCTGTTCATCCTAATGCGAATTTGGAACTTATTCTTTTTGAAAGTGATATGTTCGTATGGGGTATATTACTGGATTTTTATTTGGTGTGTGTTTCATTACCTTGTGTGTTTTATCCTCAAAAGGTTCTAAATCATGGAAATTAGTCTGGATTGTTGATGTTTCCGGGGCTCGTGCTTGTGTTGGAAAGAATTTCAAAGCAAAAGGATGTGTGTCTTTGGAGCTTGTGGTTGTTGTTTGTCTATTGGTTGGATTTCTTTGGTTCGAGCTGTTGAGTTATGGCTTCTAAGGTATATAATCACTACATCTTCACTAGAAAAGTGTTGTCACATATGCATCACGTCATCTTCACTACATGCTCACTACCACACTAGTAGCTCTTGGAAATGGTTACCACTCCACATTGTTTATCTTTTTGTTTTAACATTAGATTAAATAAAAAAAACATAATTTTAAACTTAAATAAACATTTTATTAATAAAAAATTACATTAAAACCCTATATTACAAATTGAAAAACCACTAATGTAAGAAAATGAGACTTAGGGGACTTTTGTGTCAAAAAAACCAAAATTTGGACATGGGATTCTTTTGAGTTGGGTTATCAATCAATACCCCTTTCTCCCTTATTTCATTCAACGCAACAAACCCTAAAACCTTTCTCCTTTGCTACCTGTGCGCCGAGCAAGGACTAGAAACTCAGCAAGAGAAGGGAAGAATGAGATGGAGATGGAGAAAGAGAGCAAACAAGAAGGAAAAACAGGAACATAGTTGGCTTCAACCAATCACAACCTCCGTGAAGACTCGTGAAGAGCATCACTCCACAAAACACATATGCCCAGTGGGGACGTTGTTCACGCGTGGAAAGAGGGTGACACGTCGGCTTCTACACGTAGAAACCTCTCCATACCGTCCAACTATATACATCTGCTAGATGTTGGTTTTAGAAAGAACAAAACTATAATTTCTCAATTAGACCCCACATTAGTTTTATTTTAAAAATAACTAATATTCAAAATCATATTACATGAAAAATGAGTTTCTTGAAAAATTTAAACTTATAATTTAAAAAAAAATCGAATTAAAAAAAAAGTTCCGTTCAGGTTCACAAGTATGAGTTAAACTTTTATTATAAACAAGAAACTCATAGCCTAAAAATTATTTCAATCATCTTTTGAAAGCTTTAGAATCTTTTCGATTTTATGATTTATGTCATTTTATAACTTTCAAAATCTTAAACTGTTTTTCCAAACACTTCTATACAAACAAAAACTACAATTTTCAGCTAGCCGCTAGACTCTCAAACAAATATAAAAAGACAAAGATTGGTCTCTCATCCGGCTCCATATCTAATGTGCATATTTGTTCATTACATACAAATAACCACCCCTGTTGACCTAATCCTACCTCCTAAAATGTGCACCTTCATACGTTCAGTAAAAAGCAACTACGAAATCAATTCTTTTTGGTAATTCGCTAAATAATAATCAAGGTAAAGAATTCAAACACAAATCAATCGTAAGTCTCCATCGGGCGTTTACCATGAGGATCCGATCTTGAACTAATACCGGAACTTGAAGATTTCCAGCGAGGAACAGAACTCGAACCACCATGACCAGAGGGACCAGAGGTGGTGGTGGGGGTGGTGGTGGTGGTTGAGGAATGAGAACTCGAACCACCCGAAGTCCCCGGTCTCCGGGACCTTCTGTACCGTGTTCCCGGAATCCCAGGGCGGCTCGGCTCATCTAGCACACCGGATTTTTTGGTTAGCATCACCACCACCCGCCGCATGGTGGGTCGTTGTCCTGGATCCGATTGGGTACATAATAACCCGATTTTTATACAAGCAGAAACCTCATCAAGGTCTGCTGAAGAATACAACTTTGACTCCAAAATTTCAAGGCTTTTTCCCTTCTTGTACAATTTATACGCCTGTAAAAATACAATTTAGCATAAATCTTTCATTTTTTATCGTTTATTTTAATGTTTAACCTTTAAATTCAATAACTATATGAGGTTGGGGCCACCACCTCCCTATTTATCATTAAACATTAGAAAAAATGATATAATAAAAACTGTAAAGAACAAAAAACGTAATAACCATCCCCTAAAGAGGACTACAATTACAAAAAAAATATTCCTTTTTGGACTTGTTCCAAAAGACCACCTAAACACAGGGACTAAAAACATAATTTAGTAAAATAAATTATTAAAAAAGTAGAGTTCTTACCCAATCTAGTAAATTTTGGCATTCGGGGTCGAGGTTAAAAGCCGAGTTTTTCTGACCACTAACAAGCTCTAAAACCATTACACCAAAGCTATACACATCCACCTTCACCGATAGATTCCCATGCATAACATACTCTTGTGCCATATATCCACTACGTCAAAAAGGGCAAAAATGTAAAATCCATTGCATATTTATCTTTTTGATGAACAAGTATCAGACTTGTTCATATTATGTCCACGTGGCACTAAAAAAAACGTACTTGGTACCCGCTACACGGGTGTTAATGTGAGTTTGATCTTCGGGGTAAAGCCTAGCCATGCCAAAATCCGCTATTTTTGGTATCCATTTATCATCTAATAAAATATTACTCGCTTTAATATCTCTATGAATAATACGATCATGTGAGTCTTCATGAAGGTAAAGCAAGCCACGTGCCACACCAATAATTATATTGTATCTTCTCTTCCAATCTAGTACTTTTCGATTTCCGGATGCTAAATCACAAATCACAAATGTTATATATAAGCAATAGTTAGTTTTAGCATTTAGTAAAATTACTTATATACCCTTTAAAGGATAAGGATAAGGATAAGGAACTTACAGAAAAGAAGCTTGTCTAGGCTTTCGTGTACAACGTATTCGTATACTAAGAGCTTCTCCGGATACCCGCAAAACCCTAATAAGTTCACAACATTTCGGTGTTGAACACGTGCCAATAATTTGGCCTCAGTTGTGAACTCCTTTTTCCCTTGAGTTGATGTTTGTGATAACTTCTTGACTGCAATCTCTCTACCATCATCCAATTTACCCTTCATATCCAAACACCAAATCATGAAACCCCAAATTCTTCACAATACTCGTATACCCAAGAATTTAAACAATTAAGAATCAAGATTTTCAAATTGAATACGATTTATTAGAGCTCAATCATCATGAAACCCCAAAATCTTTGCAATACTGGAATACCCAAGAATTTAAATTTTAATAATTAAGAATGAAGATTTAATTGAGTACAATTTATAATTTATTAAAGCTCAATTATAATACTCGTATACCCAAGAATTTAAACAAGTAAGAATCAAGATTTTCAAATTGAGTGCAATTTATTAAAGTCAATCATCATGAAACCCCAAATTCTTCACAATACTCGTATACCTAAGAATTTAAACAATTAAGAATCAAGAGTTTCAAATTTAGTAAAATTTATAGTTTATTAAAGCTCAATCATCCTGAAACCCCAAATTTTTCACAATACTTGTATACCCAAGAATTTAAACAATTAAGAATCAAGATTTTCAAATTAAATACAACTTAAAGGTCATTCATTATGAAACCCCAAATTATTCACAATACTAGTATACCCAAGAATTTAAACAATAAGAATCAACATTTTGGATTTATTTTGAGTATTAAGAAATACCCACTTCGGTATTTTAGGCGTGATTTTGAAGTGTAGCTGAACATGATTAAATTAGTGGCATATTAGGTAAAGGCATCATTGTATGAAAAGGCATTCTAAAATATAATATTTTCTTCTAAAACGTGTGTTTTACTTTCGGGTACTCCCACCATTACAGACACATGATATACCACCACGAATGAAAATGATAAATGGTTTAAATGAATCCAATGATCAAACTAATTTTAATGGAAACAAGCTAGAGAAAAGGGATGATGAATGGAACCTTGAAAACAGGGCCATAACCCCCTTGGCCAAGCTTATTATCTGGATGGAAATTTTTGGTTGCAGAAACTAGGGTTTGAAAACTGAATATCTTCTGTTCTTGAGCAGCAATCGCTTCCAGTTCTTCTTCTTGGCTTTCTGAATTCCAATTCAAAACCCCAAAAAGACAACACATGAAAACGATATCCTTGAAGTATACATAATCTAAATCAAAACCCATCTCAAAAATGATATAAAAATACAAACTTTGATGAAATCTTGAAATGGGTGTTACAGATACAAACCTTTACTTGAACTGAGCTTGAAGCGTTTAACCAAATTGTGGAAGAAGCTCTTGGATTTGGTCATCCTGCTCGCTAACTACACCGAACATTAATTACGAAGATAGGAAAAGAAAGCAAAAGGCGAATTGTGGATCGTGGTATCGTTATGCAGAAGATTAGCGAGGTGGAATTGTATAAAAGCGTTATGGTGATTTGGAATTGATGATGCGAAGCTCGGAAAGTTACGTAAATAAATAGTTGCGAAATAGTCTAAGACGCGTAAATCTTCGCAAGACATGACAAACTTGTCCAAGTTTATAACATCATTAAACTTAAAACAATTATGTTTTTTTAACATTAAACCTTTTCCAACTTCATGTACATATTAAAACACCGCATTAAAAATAATGGATAATATCGTTTTAGCCTCCAAAAATCTTTATTTTTGGT